TTTTTTTTTTTTTTTTTGTCTTTTTCGTGACCGGTAAGGGGATCGCAACCCTTGGTGTGGTGTTGCCCGCACCGCACTCAGCCAGTGAGCGCACCGGCCATCCCTATATAGGATCTGAACCCATGGCGGGAGCATCGCTGCACTCCCAGCGCTGCACTCTCCCAAGTGCGCCATGGGGTCGGTCTTGGTTAATGTTCTAAAGTTTGCTTCTATTCTATATTTTTATTTGATAAGTGGCTGATTCTCAAAGTTTGGGTTTTAACAACCCAAAGATTCTCAAAAAAAAATTAGTAGTCAGCATCCTTAGTTGGTATTTGTGGTAGGCAGAATAATGGCCTCCAAAGATGTTCACATCTCAGTCCCTTGAATCTGTGAATGTTTGGTTACATGGCAATGGGAAATTGTTGAAGGAATTTACGCTAATCAGCTAATCTTAAAATAGGAAATTATCCTGGATTATCCAGGTAGACCCAATATAAATTACAAGGGTCCTTAAAAGTATAAGAGGGAGACAGAGAAGTCTGAGAAGGAGATATGACAATGGAAACAATGTCAGAATGTTGAGATTGCTCTCTGTGAACATGGAGGAAGGGAGCCTTCAACCATGGAATGTGGAAAGCTTCTAGAAGCTGAAAAAGGCAAGGAAAAGGATTCTTTCTCCCCAGGCCCTCTGGAAAGGAATGCTGCCCTGCCAACACTGACTTTAGCCCAGTGAGACCCATTTTGGACTTCTAAACTACAGAAGTGTAAGATAATAAATTTGTGTTGTTTTAAGTCACTACATTTGTTACAGCAATGATAGAAAACTAATACAATATTAAATATATTGATCTGGCATATTTGAATGTGTGCATGGTATGTATAAGTAGCAAAGTTACTTTTAAATTTATTCACTGATTATTCTCCGACTCCCTGAGAAGACTGATTACTACCCTTAACATGATCTAGGAATTCTACATCTCATCACCCATGTAACTAAAAGAAAAATGTAGAAATTTAGTGAATAATCTAAACCTTTTTTGTGTGCATAATTTTATAACTTCTCAAATAACAGTGCTAATTTCTTCATTATATAGTATAGTAACACAAGCTATAGTATACAAGTTTTAAATATATATATATTTTTTCTGATTCTAAAAAGGAATTTCTAAAATCATATGGTGTACAATTTATAAGAAAAAGATACATTTATTATGGTGCTACAGACTCACATAGGCTCTAGGGTGGGAGCGTGTAGACCACATATTTGCAAATAAGTTGTTTTTTGACTTAAGGCTCTGTATTTTCCTGAAAATATTTAGAAATAAGCTATGTTAGATTATATTCTATAAAATGGGCTATACTTTTAAAGTAAATTACTTTCAACTTAAGTAATGAGTAAATATCTTAAGATGAATTGAGATGTTAATGTTAACTCACCTGCAACTGTATAATGAAATCTTAAATTTAGCCTAAAATGAATATCCAAAAGATCAAAACAATTCTTAGGGCCGGCCCGGTGGCGCACTGGATAGTGCGCTGCTTGGGAAGCGCGGTGGCGCTCCCGCCCGAGGGTTTGGAGCCCACATACAGACCGGTTCCCGCTCACTGGCTGAGCGAGGCGCGGGAGCGACGCCGAGGGTTGCAATCCCGTTGCCGGTCCCCGGTCTGGTACGGGGGCAACACTGAGGGTTGCGATCCGTTGCCGGACACGGAAAAAGACAAAAAGACACACACACACACACAAAAAAAAAGTTCTTAGAATTTTTCAAAGAAAGAAATGTCAATGATGTAGTATCATGTTAGTAAACTTTGGTTTTCTAGTTTTTCTTGCCAACTGTACTCAAGCCATGAGACAGGTATCTGCACAACAATACTTCTCAAGATACTCCTCTGGCAAGCTAAATAGGCCTACTTCTGAAGTTTCTCTATACAAGACTTAAAAAGTAGAGATTCTAGGCTATAATAGCAGCAATATCATCAAAATTTAAGCAAATCTTTAATACCAATAATACTGTGTCTGAGCAGTACTGGAAGCAATGCCACCAAAAATGTCCTCAAGTACTATAAACAAACATGTATGAAGGAGCACTGATCTTAGTTCTGTAGGTTCATCAATTAAAAAGGAGCTAAAAAAAAGAATATGAAAAAAAGATAACTGAAGTGATATATTAAGAACCTTTATTTCAATTGGGCACTTGTAAAAAACTTATCTTTTAAGCATTTTACAAGTGAATGTTCACTCTCTCTCTCTCTCTCTCTCTCTCTCTCTCACACACACACACACACACACACACACGAGTACTGTGAATATATTAGCATATTTTTCTTCAGGGGGCTTTTAATTTTGTCTCTTTTAAGGAAATAACAGAAAAGTTGTTACTGGAGTACTTCAGTTACTGCTAACAAGTGGATATTTGATACCACCTTTTGGTAAACACAGACATTGTCATTTAACATATCAGTCCTATAATCCCATCCAACTGAAATGTTAATAACATATATGCCTTTAAACTTTAATTTCCAAACTAAACTTTAATTTCCAAAAAGTCTCACTTCAGAATATGATTTAGACCCAGTAAATGGAAGAGGAAAAAGCTTTTTAACTGGCTTCAATGGGCATGAAGCAGATCTAAAGAGAATTAGGTGGAAGTTTTGATAGTAGAATTATTATTTGAAGATCAATTCCTAAAAAAATATAGCAAATGGGAGAGATTTTTGACAAAATAAAACTTGTAAAGACCAATGGTTATATTTCATAGAAACATGGATCATATTCCAAGTTAAAAAAATTGTTTATATATATTATATCAATGTTTTTTCAAGGGCTATGGCTTACAGTCTCACCAACAAATTACATGAACATGCCCATCAACTAATTATAAAGTGAGGTTTTTTTGGTTTGTTTTAAGAAAATAATGTTACAGCCATTATGGAAAACAGTATGGAGGTACCTTAAAAACTACAAATAGAATCCAGAGATCCCGCTTCTCAATATATATACCCAAAGGAACTGAAATCAGTATGCTGCAGTATACCTGCACTCCCACGTTCATCACAGCATTCATTACTCACAACAGCCAAACTATAGATGAAGAAATGGAAATGGACAGTGTCTGGATTATAGCCACTTCCAACAACATATTCTTCAGAAAATACACTGAACTTCTAGGATACATAAGTTAAGATTTCCACTGAATTGAATACTGCTATCAGTTTGCAGGGGGAACTGTATTGGGTAATAATGGAAACCATTAATTTAAAGATGGACACATTTTCTCTGGACTACATCAAGCCATGTTTCTCCTTTTCCCCAATAGTACACCTGTTGTGATAATCACTAGGTTGGCATCTGCAGTGACAAGGTAATCTTTGCTGGAAATAGGATTTGGCTTTTTAATAAAAGGGTTGCCATGTTGAAGATTGTCTTACTCTTCAGATTGACTTCATTAACATCCCAATGGCAAGTTCATCTCTGGGTGGGATGCATGCCCCCTTGTGGGGACAGAGCCATCTCCAGGCAAAGGGAATTCACTCCTGCAGCACCTATTCTCCGCCTGATCCGCAGGACTCCCACAGCCCAGCTCATGGTTGCCCATTCAAGAGGTAAAGAAAAAGGAGGAAAGCAGCATAAAAGCTTGTTGAGGTGCAAAAGAAACAATTGATACTTTGACACCCTTTCATACTCTGCTACTGTGGCTGCACCCAGCTCATGCAGGCCTCATGACAGCCAGGCATCTTAAAATGTTATGTGTAATTTAACAAATATGTAGCAATTTTTTGTCATTAAGACACTTAAAATGGACTATGATTATTAAGGCAAAAGGTAATTTTGGCTTTGCCTTTTGAAGTACCATATCTTGTTATTTAGGGAAGCACTAAATCTTTACAATCATTTTTATTATGATACTAAAACACTCTGAAACTAAGTATGATAGATGCAAAGAGAAACAGTGATAAGAGTTCTGATCTCCACTTTGTTGATTAATGAAATCAACAGATATGCAGTAGTTTTTAGATAATATCCTCAAATTCTTCTTCTATCAGACTTTAATAAGAATGCCTATTCAAAATCAAGGATCTAGATGGTTAACTCAGTTGATTAGAGCATGGTGTTCATAGCACCAAGGTCCAGAGTTCAATCCCTGTACTGGCCAGCATCAAGAAAAAAAAAAAAAAAAAAATCAAATCACTGCTTCTTTCCCCAATCACCTTCTCCTTTATAATGAAAAAGTAAGGACTATGAAAAACAAAAAGGCTTGACCTATTAATTAAAATGGTATTTCTCTAATATACTAAAATTCTGACTTGTCTAAAATACAACTGGTTTAACTAAATTTAGTTTTTTAAAAATTGGCAAGTCTTAATATATGTTTACTTATCTATATAATGCCAAACAAGAAATTTGATAGATTTTTTTCACTTTTCAACCAGTTATTTGGTATTTGGTACCAAACTGCATTCCATTTGTAAATACTTCTATCTCAAAGTACTAGAGCATATTCTTAACTCTATCAAGAAGAGCATAACACTTTGGCCTTAGAGAATAACAAAAATCATTTTGTTACTATAAAGTAGTGGTTGGCGAACTTTTTCTATAAAGATCCAGAGAGTAAATATTTTAGGTTATGTCGGTCATACATGGTGTCTGTGGCATATTCCTTTTTTTTTTTTTTTTTAACCCCAGAACTCCTTAACTGTAACCCTTTAAAAATGTAAAAAAAGGCTGGCTGGTTGGCTTAGTTGGTTAGAGCACAGTGTTATAACACCAAGGTCAAGAGTTTGGACCCCCATACTGGCCAGCTGTCAAAAAAAAAAAGTTATAAAAAAACAAATTCTTAATTCAAGGGTCCTAGAAAAACATAAAGTATTGAAGAGTATCACAGAGGGAGCTCTAGTTTCTGGGAAAAATTATATATATAAATATATTTATAAATATATGTTATATATATATAAATATATATTGAAGTAGAGAAAAGCAGAAAATAATCTAGACTGTAACAATGTTAGTTTCATTATCTATTCGAAAATAACTGTTGTTATTAACAAAATGACAAAGAAAAATAACCCAAGTCTTCCAGATGTTTACCTTACTCTTACCTTTGCCTGTGGCATGAACCACAGCAGCCTGAGGAGTTACTTGACAAGTTCCAAAACCCAAATAAGACAAGGCTGAGAATAAAAGGCCTCTTTTGAAAGTTCCTGGGTTTCCCATTACCTGTGGAAACAATTATGGTCAGAGTTATCAAACATAGAAAATTTGAAGGCACTGCTACCCTAAATGAAAATCATAACAATTTTCTCCCACCTCCAAAGCAATCAATCATAAGAATACTGGAAGTTCAAAAATTACTTCATCAAAGGCCAGCCCATGGCTCACTTGGGAGAGTGTGGTGCTGATAACACCAAGGCCACAGGTTTGGATCCTGTATAGGGATGGCCAGTTAGCTCACTGGGTGAGTGTGGTGCTGACAACACCAAGTCAAGGGTTAAGATCCCCTTACTGGTCATCTTAAAAAAAAAAAAAAAAATTACTTCATCAAATTCTTCTGTATAACTATTTCAAACCTTACAGAAAGAGCATATCTAATTATGAAAAAGATACCACCTAGGAATGGTAGCACATCTAAAAAGTAGTCATGCTGATGAGTGCTGGATTGAAGACTTACAATTTATTTGTGGAGGCATGGGTATTACAAATTGTCTGAAATAAAACATGATACACCCAACACATAATAAAAATCAGTCTTATGAATAGACAAGATAATAATATCAAATACAGTAGTTACTGCACATAGAAAATGTGCATGGCTTTAAATCTTCAAAAGCAACCCATGAAACCCATAGTTTTTAAATAAATGAAAAACAGAATAAAGAGCATATCCAAACAGATTTGGAAATTAATTTTCATATTTATGGCCAGATTCTTGAGACCAATGACAGAGGAGAAATGTGTAGATATCACTCTGGCAATTTTTCCCTTTCTCCACAACAATTTTTCTGTCTTTAACATAGCATCTTTTTTTCCCCTTTCCATTGATTTATACCACAAGGATAAAAACAAGCTATACCATCTTTGTAAGCTGTAATTTCTCTCTTCTTTTAAGAAGAAAAAAACAGGGGCCGGCCAGTGGCTCACTTGGGAGAGTGTGGTGCTGACAACACCAAGTCAAGGGTTAAGATCTCCTTACCGGTCACCTTTAAAAAAAAAAAAGAAAGAAAAAAACAAAACAAACAAACAAAAAGAACCAAAAACCAAAAAGCTTCCCCTTGACGTCAGATCTCCCTTCAGTCTCATTTCCCAACTCCTCTTTTCAGTAGAACTCTTTTTAAAAAAGTTGTCTGTACTGTCTCTATTTCTTCTCTTTTCATTCTCTCTTTTTTTTCTTGGAGGCTGGCTGGTAAGGGGATCTGAACCCATGGCCTTGGTGTTATCAGCACCATGCTCTAACCAACTGAGAAACCCTCCAGCCCCATTCTCTGGTGAGCACACACCAATCCCACTTTCATCCCAACAACCCCACTGATAGTATTCTAGTTAATGTCACCAAGGATGCTATTTCCTGTTGTCAATTCTGAATTCTTATCTTACTTGACCTATCAATGGCATTTGACAGCTGATCACTTCCTCCTTTTAAAAAATAATAATGAATGCATGTTTGACTTTCTAAATAGCTTTATTGAGATATAATTGACATACAATAAAATGCACATACTTAACAAATCTTTAAGACCATCATCAACACAATCAAGATAATAAACATATTTATCAACCCCAAAAGTTTCCTCTTTGTAATGCCCCTTTCTGTAGTACTTGCTGTATTCTGTTACTCTTGAAACATTCTTCACTTGTTTTTGAAATAATACTCTCCTGGATTTCTGTCTCAACAACTGTTCCTTTTCTTTTGTTGATTTCTCATCTCCAATATCTCATTGCCTGCATATGAACAGGGCTTAATTCCAGATTTCTTTTCCCTATTTGCATTACTTTTAGTGATCCTCAAGCATGCCAAAAACAATCTCTAGCCCGGACATCTCCCCTAAACTTCAGAATCATATATCCAACTGCCTACTCAACATCTGTCTCTACATGAAGTCTATTAGACATCTCAAATTTAACAGCCAAAATACCTATTCGTTCCCCTAAACCTGCTCCTCTCACCATTTTCCCTATTATGGTAAATGGCAACTATATTCTAGTTGTTCAACTTAAAAACAAAACAAACAAAAAACCTTGGAGTCATTCTTGACTCTCTCACAATCCACATCTGATCCACATTTGAACTTCTGATAAGTATCCAGGAATGGGGAATACAACATATTACAATTTGCTGAATGCTTTGTTTGCTTCTTCATCATGAACGTTCAAGATATTATGCTCAACTGGGTTAAAAATAAATCAAGAGCAAAGCAGTAAAACAAACTTTGTCACAGTCACATTTTTAGCATTTGATTTTCTGAGTTTTCATACTGGCCAGACACAAAGTAATAATTTTCTTTGTTTATTCACATTTGCCAAGGGAAAACAGATGGAGTAGAGACAGAAGGTATGGATGGGTGTATGTGTGTGTTTGTGGTGATGATGCCAAGAAAAAGAAGAGGAAAAGACTAAGATTTTACCATGAAGTCTCTTAGTTCCCAATTGCTCTGGCAAGGATATCACATAGTAGAAAAGGCTGTACATACTATTACAAATTGAGGAAACTTGACATCTAATGTTTAACTTTCTCTGCTGATATCATGCTCAACAAACAATATCCTCCTGGCTTTCTTAGAGGGGAGAAAATGCACTATTAGGCAACTGACAGTTATATTTCTTACTGTAAATTAATGAAATGACAGTTTACCAGCTGGGCTCCTTTCAGTTTGGATAATGTTGAAGCAGCTCTTTGCTTACCTCTGGGCAAGTAGATAAAAATCATGTGTCTGGACTTAAAAAAAAAATAGTGAATTAAAAGAATTAGGACTCAATGACACCTCCAAGATACTAATAATTTGTGAGACTAAGACAGCTACAACGTGCCATTTCACCTTGTAGCTACAATGCATAGCACAATGCCTTTCAGATAATGAGTTCTCAAAAAAGATTTGTTTAACAAAGGCAGCAGGTTCTCTCTTAGAGATCTCTTTTCTTCAACACTGATTATACCACTCCGGAGCCAAAGTAACTGAAAAATGCAAACTCATCACCAGATGGAGAGGAATATGTCACCACTCTCTCTTACTTTTCATCCTAAATTCTTGCCAGCTACTCCTCTTAAATGTTAGAATTCCTCCACAATAAATAGGCCTTCTTGTGGCCTTACTATTAAGTATCTTCAATCTCTATCTTGACTTCATTTACAACTATATGCTAAAGGCTCCTGAATCTATCTCTCTAGCCTAGACCTCAGAAGGCAGACCTATCAAACTACTGCCTATTCCACATGTCAATGTGGCTGTCTTATCACATTTACCTTCATTAGTCCAAAACATAACTATTTCCTTTTTTTGCCCCCGCAAATCTTTTTCTGTAGTCCTACCGCAATAAACAGCACCACCATCCATCCTGATGCACTAGCCAGCAACCTGAGAATCCTCCTTAACTCTTTCCTTTCAACTCCCACACTGAAGTTAGGTCTGTTAATTCTACATCTTTAATATTCTTTGAATGAATCCACTTATCTCCATTTCCCTGGCTATCACTAAAGTTCAAACCACCACATTTCATACCTGTCCTATAGCAATGATCTCTTATCTGGTCTCCAGCATCTACTCCAGCCTCTAGCCTATGCATTTTTGACACCAGACAAAGATATTTTTTAATATAAATCTGATCAAATGACTTTCTTGTTTAAAATGGTTTAATGGTTTCCCATAACCTTTAGACTGAAATCAGAAATACCATAGTTAACAAGGTTTTTAGAAGGCTGTGGTGGCAGCCTCTAAAATGCCCCCCAATGACCCTCACCTTCTGTTAGTCACATCCTTTGTAATACCCTCTCCTTAAATGTATGCTAGATTTATTGACTCCCTTCTGAGAAACAGAATACAACAGAAATTATATCACTTACAAAATTAGGTTATAAAAAGACTATGATTTCAATCTTTGACACTCATTCTCTCATTTGTTCTCTTGAATCACTTGCCTGCCCTGGGGGAAGCCAGTTTGCTGTGTCTTCCTGCAGCCCTGTGGAGAAGCCACCATGGTGAGTAGCAAAGGTGGCTACAACCGCATGAGTGAGCTTGGAAGGAGAACTTCCTCTCCACGCCAAAAACTGAGTCTCCAAATGAGACCTTAGCAGCTAACAGTTTGACTCAATCTCAGGAGGGACATTCAGCTGTAGGCACCCAGCTAAGCCACACCTGAACTCCAGAAAACATGAGAAAATAAATGTTTGTTGTTTTAGAAAATTAAGTTTTATAATAATTTATTATGCAGTAATAGATAACTAATAAACTGATACTTGCCTGCTTGACTTATTTCACTTTATTCTCTTCAGGCTTCAGTCATATTTTCAGTTTCTCAAAAATACCACTTTTTCTTATCTCAAGGCCTATATCGTACTACTTCCTACACTGGAACATTCTTTTGTCCTCATCTTCCCTTTACCTACTTCTAGTCATCTTTTATTTATTCATTTATTTTAATTTATTGAAACATAATTGATTGTACATATCTGTGGGTACAGTGTTGAATATCCATACCTGTGTGCAATATGTAATGCTCAAATTAGGATAATTAGTATCATTTCTTGTGGCCCTTTACCAATTTCTCATTAAAACCCCCTTCCCCTCCCCCATCTCTGGTGGCCTCAGTTCTGTTCTTTCCTTTTGAAAGTTAAATGTATTTCTAATCATCTTTTCGATTTCATCTGACTGCCCACGTATTCTAGAGTTTAAAATAATGAAAGAGTTCAAGTGACATAAATCATATGCACAATGCCCGCCCCACCTCCCAATCCCCTTTCAAGAATACACAAACCAAGGCTCACGAACAATCTAATAGAAATGTCAGAACTGAGATTACAATCCAACATCCCAACATCCTTCTTAACATTATGCAGATAAAACAAGCAACTCAGAACTATTAAAAAAAAAAAAAACATAAACAGTACTGTGGTGGATTGAATTATGTCCCCCCAAAATTCACTGAAGCTTGAATTGTGTCCCCCAGGTTTTACGTATTAGAAACTTAGCCCCCACTGTGACTGTTAAGAGGGTGGGAAATTGCTATTATGGTAGTTGAAAGGTGGAGCCTTGAAGAGGTGATTGGACTGTAGGACCATGCAGTAGTGAATGGGTTAAAAATGGTGGTCGGGGTGTGGTTCTGAGGGCTTTAAAAGAGGAGAGTCTCTCTCTCCTTCCACCATCTCGCAGTGTGAGACCCCTGAGTCACTATCGCCACCACCAAATGGACTTTCGACTTCCCAGACTTAGAAACCGTAAGCAATAAGTGTTGTTTCTCTTTATAAATCACCCAGTATCAGGTATTTTGTTATAAGCAACATAAACGGACTAATACCAGTACAAAATCTCTGCTTGAGTCATAGAAATCTTCAAAGTCACACCCCAAATTCAAAGTCTGGCTTACTGACAGCCTCAAGTGCTGTTCCCATACTGGCATCGCCAAGAGTGAAAATTATTTCTCAGCTATCAAGGTTCTCTCCCGCTTCTCTTCTCTACGTTTTTACACTGGAAGGACGGGCAGGAGGCAGCTTCTCGAGGGAGACGTATCCCACTCCTTCTCTGGCCCGACTCCAGTTTTCATAGAGAGAAAAGGAGGCCTGTGAAAGGGAAAGGACCTGTCGGCCGCAGTCACGGGGAGCGCTCCAGACACATCCGTTCCCTCCTCAGTTCACCACAGTCTCACAAGGCAGCGCGGGGCCGCCAAGCCTGGAGAAGGAGGGAGGAGCCCGAACCCACTCAGCGGAGGGGAGACGGAGCCAGGACGGCGGGGGTACCTTAGAGCCGCGGAATCGCCAGGAGCCGCATCGCCCGCGACTGCCCAAGGTTCCCGTAGTCAGCCAAGGCCCCCTTGGGGTAGCTCCACGTCCCCAAAGGAGAAAGCTCCACAATCGCGCGGCCAGCGCCATGACCTACAACTCGCAGGCTGACCCTACACGCCTTCGGGCCGCCAGGGAGGCGGACGACGAGAAAGGAGCCCCGGCCTTTCTCCAGAAAACCGTGCCCGCCGGTTCCCTGCCAGCGCCGCCGCCGTCAGCTCGGCTTCCGGTCCCCGGGTTCAGGGGGCGGGAAATACCCCGACTGGGTGGGACTTAGTGGGGCTTCTGCGCCTGCGCCAGATGGACCCGGGCACTGAGAGAGTGCTTACCAACTCAGGAAATTGAAATTGACAGAATACTGTTATTTAATGTACAAATTTTGCTGATTTCCCATTGTTTATACCAACGACTTTTTTTCTTCAATTCAAGATCAGATCCCGATTATGTTTTGCATTTAGTTGTCATGTTTCTTTAGTTTCTGTAAATCTGTAATATTTATTCAGCCTTTGTCTTTCATGACATCAATGGTTTTTGAATGTATAGTCCCATTGGTTTATAGCCGGTTTCTCAACTTTGGTACCACTGACATTTGGGGCTGGATAATTCTTTGTTGTGAGACACTGACCTGTGATTTGTAGGATGTTAGCAGCATCTCTAGCCGCTACCCATTACATACCCGTAGCGCCTTTACCCAATTGCGACAACCAAACATATCGCCAGACATAGCCAAATGTCCC